TCCACGCTCAACGAGTACATAAACTCTGTCACAGCATGTTGCAATGATTGTGCATCGCTATGATCGCCTAAATTTCGCTTGATCAGATCGAATAGCCAGAAATCGCATGGAGCTAAGCCGGGTAATGTACACAAGTAGAATGTAATTAAAAATCAGTGTGACAAAAACAGATATAATAATATAGCACGAAGCCATTCCCAACCCAAGCGAATATTTTCGAGAAAATATTTCGTATGGTTCAGATTGAGATGTATCCTTGTACCATACACCATTGGATAGAGCTCGACGAGATCTACCTGATGAACTGTTGATTTCATTTGGCACAGGTTTGAGAGTGAATATTTTTGAGAAATACTGTTAGGAACCGCCTGAAAAACGAGCTTTTGAAATATTTCATATGGTTCAGATTGAGATGTATCCTTGTACGATACACTGTTGGATAGAGCTCGACGAGTTCTAACTGGCACAGATAAAATTTATGATGGCACAGTTCTCAGTGCGAATGTTTTGTTAAGTGAAGTTTCATGTATTTTGTCCGTGGGAAAAACTGGTACTTTGTTGTTTAAAACTTTTTGGGATAATAAGCATGAAGGCTGAACAGGTCATTGGATGGAAAGTTCTAAACTGAGAGTCAATTGAGTTCATCAAGGTTTTTCAAGTAATAACACTGATATTAGGGACAACATTTGTAGTGTGTAAATGTAATAGTCTGTCTCAAGCAGTCATTTGTCGAATGACGAAACGTCACGAATAATTTGAAAATAAATTTGGGAAGAGATTCACTATGTCGAATAACAAAGCCAATTAAGACGAATTTGGGTTAGGAAGCTACGGTATCGGCACATTGAAAGTAAAAAATTAGATTAACATTAAAGAAAAAAGATAAAAGCATATAAACGCCAACTCACTCAACCGGTTCGGTTACAACTCTGACTTACGGTATGCACTATAGTTGGACATAACATCGTTTGTTGCTCCTTGTGGTATGCCAAAATATGGAATTACTAACGTTACTGTTAAAGAGTTTATACGACTCAAGTTTAAAAATCAAAGTCATTATTCTTCCACGTTGGTCTAATCAAACGTCAGAATTGTGCAAATGCCGAATGTAAAAAACGATACTGTATTTACCGGTAAATGTTCTTCCGGATTAACAAATATTTCTGTCTCTTCTCTTGCTAGTTTTAGCCGACACTCATGGACTCTCTCTGCACCTTGTCGTCCCAACCATAAAACAATATGATGTTTCTGTTCGTTATTCCATTTGATAGTCGCCGCTTCCGAATAATCGTCGAGGATAAAATATTTTCTCAAGTAAGGTAAATAGATTCTCGTGCCAATTGGAAGCGCTTTAGGATTTGATGCAAATGAAATCGGATATGAATAAGATCCGTCTCCTACAGTAGATTCATCATACAGTGTCGGATGACCAGCTTTTTTTGGAAAGGCGTTCTTTGCACTGGGCGGAAAATTGTCGTTCCATCCGTACGCTGTTATGCTCGCTTTGATTGTTGTCATATTTTCGAACTGAGGACTAAGTGCTAGTGGCTGTAGGACGAGCTGCGTGGATGATGGAATCTCTTTAAGCTGGATTATGAACAGATTTTCCGCTGGATTTAGTCGGCCAACCACTTCAAGAAAGGTTCCTGGCATCAAAATCATTTCTCGTTCTGTTTGACTGTAATATGAGTGGTTACTAATAGATTTTGCTGTGTCACATTCCACTGAGAAAAGTGTTCGCGTCCCCGTTTTCCCAAGAAATTGTTCTGTTTGAAGAACGTCAACAGCAGTTGTACATGAACTCACACTCCACCAGACAAATTGGGCTCCAGTTTTATAATCTTTACTCAAATTAACATCCTTCACACCACGCCAGACGGTCGTTCGAGGATGTGTGGGTAGTTTTTGAAGTGCAGTTAGAAATAGTTTAAGATAGTGAAACCAGGGTTTTAAACTATCACGATGTTCAGAACGTAATGTTTCGTTCAGTAGCTGATAAAAACTGGGACCAACTGAAAATTCCATGGTGTACAAATGTATAGCAGCAGATTCGTCCTGCGATAACTGATCTTTTGGTGAACGACAATTTTTCTTAGCAGTGTGAACATAATCGCTTAGATTATGGAACAAGTGTTGAATAGGTTGAATTGCTTTCTCCAAAGGTAACACAGGAACATCTTTGTAACCTTTGATTGGTGTCAATAGTTTATCGGTGGGTTCGCGAGGTACATCGGTGTAACGAGAATGTGCTTGCTCAATTTCTTCACGTTGCCATTCCGGCTTTATACCTGTAACAGAAACATTCCGTTTATTGTCATATTCGAGAGTTTTATTTAAGTGGTAAGCAGCTTACTCGAAGACGGAATTTCAATTATCTGTCCAGGTACTAAAAATTCTGGTTTAACTTTGGGATTAGCGGCTAGGAGATCTTCTAATGGGCATGCATATCGTAGAGCTAATTGCCAAAATGTATCCCCAACGGCAATAACGTGAGTCGGCATAATTTTTTTACACTTTTGTTTTCTGCCTCCTTTCCTGATACTCTTCTGTATATATTATGGTTATAATACCAGCATCTTTTACCTCTAAGTGAGTTTATTTTTTTATCGTATATAATTGTCGTGCAGCAGAAAAGAAGAAAGGTAAAGAAGTCGCAAAGTAGTTTTTATCAATCCTTTTCACTTTTGAAGCTTCGGTAAATAAATATATAATAAATAACTTCCAAGTGATGCATGTGCGAGACGCCCTCAAAGAAAAAAAAATTCACTGCGTTTATTCATCATTTTCGATTCTAGATTATATGATATGAGTAATAACAGCAGCATTTTCGCTTAAAGGATGGCGAACGGTAAGAGACAAACTCGGTTCACGCTTAAATCAGTCTTATGTTAACGCATCTGATGCAGTTTTTCTCCGCAAATAACAAAACATGTTTTTAGATCTTATAAAACCTTTTCAGCGGCCCTGGACATATTTTAGCAAAAAAACTCTTCTCGCGTTAAATGACCTTTACTCAAACTATTTACACTATTCCACGTCTTTCACCTAAACAAAATATCAATTATTATACACCATTCGATGAAGAAATTACTCGGTAGTATCACAATAAACCGGTAGGTTAACGTCGTTCATGGCTATAATAACGACAAATTTTCTCTTTAACTGCTCCACTTTATATATCATCCGACAGAGAATTTCACGAGCTTCAAAATGAGGTATAAATAAGTCTCTCGAAAATATGGCCACATTGATCAGTAGTTGAAATACTTGGCCGTTATAACGATTTTCCCCTATTTTAATGCTTCAAACACCCCTAAGTCATTTTTCTGCCATAATGAAAAATTAAACATTGTTCAAAACATACCATTGGATAGCCCTTGGAATTCTTTACAAAGTGAGCTGGTCATAATATCAAGACTATACTATCAATTCTTTCTTTTCGAGCAGAATATCATATACCAATGTTGAAGGTTTGAAACTGACATCAACCTTATTTTGACTTTCGTTATTGATATTCGTTTGTTCAAACAGTGTTTGAATATCACTATTCGCTGCTTTTTCGTATGCTGTTCTGCCATATTTACTGACAATTTTTTGCGAACATTCTCTTTGTGATAAAAGTTTAACGATTTCATAATAACCGTAATAAGATGCATCATGTAAAGGCGTACTTTCATTTGGTTGTACTTCATTAAGTTGATTGAGAGTAAGGTTTGACAATCGTTGTGGAACACCGTTCAAGTGACCGCTTCTACACATAAATATATACGGTACAATAGACACACCGTAAACTAGTGAGGGTATAAATATAAATAGATGTTTACGTAACAGCTTAAAAAATGTTTTAAACATGATTCACCTGAATTACTGTATTCATTTATATGTCACAGGAAACTGGTTGAAACTAGTATGGTTGCACTGACATACAAAACGATTCCAACGCTGTTATAAAAATTTAGAAATACTCTTCGAATAATCTCTCCACCGTTTAAATCATAATTACATTGATATATGAATAAGTGTAAACTAGATGCAGCAGCAATAACGATCACAATCAAAAAGACGATCAACGAACGTAGCCTTATTGTATCCGTTTTAAAATTATAACATACAATTAGTCCAGGTTCGACGGCCACAATACAGCTGAGCCATAAACAAATACGCGTCGTTATCGTATACAAGATTTTATTAATATAACAATGAAGCATACCATACTATTCTGTACTTTCAATCAATTCATTTGGTAAATACTGAACAAATTGATCAATCATAATCAATAAATTTGATATCAGACTAATAACTGAATATAGTATTAAATACACACCACATTTTGTCCGACGTATATGTTTATAAACAAACGTTTGAAGGCCGAGTATATTACTTATCAATGAACGAATAAACTGTAAAATGAAAAAGATGAAAAATACATAGGTGAATTACTTTCAGGTCGAAGTAATTTTTCATTTTTACAAAAGGAACCTTTTGGATAAGATGCAGGAATTTTAACTAATGCTTTCGATGTTATGGGCTCGACCCATCCCTATTCGAAAGCAGAAGTTCGTAATTCAAATATCTGGCAAAAAAAATAGCGTTACTTAGAAAACAGTTACAGCATTGACTAAATATGTCTCTTCAATGGCGGTAAAATGTGTTGAACGTCCGGCACAGCATGCAATTCATACAGGTGATAGATGTTGAAATTCTCTGCAAAATGATATCATTTTTAATTATTTTTCTTGAAATCTCCGTTGAAACTAAGTTAACTGAAGAGTATCGCAGTTATTCTTGATGTAGTGACCATAGTTATCCCAATTAACAAATAATCTCATTAAAAGAAAAGGTTTTCCTTAAGGGCCCCCCTCTTCATATAATAGCTTTTTCCTGGATACACATACACTTAAAATTTTTCTAAAATTTTTCAGACTTGTGTAGAGCAAAAAAATTTTCGTTCCTGTAACTCATTAACGGGGGGGGGGGGGGGGGGGGGGGGGGGGGGGGGGGGGGGGGGGGGGGGGGGGGGGGGG